CAGACCTGGAGTGCAGTGTGATGGGAATACTTTCAGTCCTAAAAGCCCTTTGGGAGAATCTGGAGACCCACAGACCAGGTGGCACCTCATCCCTGCTTACAACTTGGTAAGTAAGGTAAACCTAGTACACCTGTCCCAGGTAGGAAGATGTTAAGAACAAAGGGAGCATACCTACCACAGCCCTCTGAAAGAAGATACTGATAATTCACTGAAAGAAAACTAAGAAAAGAGATGTCACAGGCATCAAGGTAATTTGCCTTATGATGTGAAAAGACACGAGAGGTGAAATACCAGTCAATAGATAAACAGTTACAAATTTATTATTTATTAAATTATTTTTCTTTATGCTTAGGATGAATCACCGAAGTATACAAATGTTTTTCCTTCTAGAGTGGTCCGGGACTATCCTGAGCCTACCCAAACTGCAATGCTAGTGGTCCTTAGCAGAGATAAGCATATTTCTAAATGATGGCAAAATACTTTTGTTATAGTTCCTAAATGTAATAGGATCCCCAGCCGAGCTGCAACCAAGCTGGGTGGTACTGTAATATAGACAATCCTAGGAAAGAAAGCTGGAAAAGACCTAGAAAATTACCAGGTCCAGACCAGTATGACCTGCAAAACTGCTGAAAAAGCTACACCTAGCCTGCTTCTGGAAACCATTAGTAGGAAAATTCCAACCTCTCCAGACAATCTAATCCACATTTAACTGCTTATCACTACAAAGCTTCCCTCACTCTGATCTTCACCTCTCCTGATGCTATCTAAGATGATTAGTTCTTGTCCTACACACAGAGAACAGGGAGAATCAGCTACTCCCTTCCTATTTGCACTAGGATTTACTTCTGGCTTTCCTTTTTTTTTACATATTTAGAGACTTTCTGCCTATTTTTTTTTCCTTTATGACAAAGTAACCATGTGTATATTTCAGTTATTCCTGACAGGGGGTGTTTCTGAGATCCCTATGACTCTCCTGTCATTTCATACCTAGCAACAAGTTACATTGCCAGAATAAAGAGCATGATAATGTTAAATTACTAGTGGAGCCATTAGAAATAAAAAGAGTGATCTATAGAGCCACTCTCTGGAATAGCCAGTCACTTGTACCAGCAGGCAAGGCCGTGGTAAGCTCTGCTTGGCAGAGCAGATTACCTCTGCCCTCGGTCACACAGGGACCAACCAGGCTACAGGGACACTGCCCTGGCATCTCACTATGGGTCTGACATCAGCTGCCACACTTCAGCAACTGACAGGAACACCTTGGGTTCATGTTCATAAAGCTGGCAAGTATCCATGTCTTTCAAAATCCTGTGTAAGCTACCTTTCGACACCTCTCCAGTGCAAATAATAGCTGCACACGTACATTTGTACTTTACTGTACATTAATCTATAATAAGAAAACAGATTTCTCCCAGTGCCTTGACTACACCAGTGTCATCTATAAAATCCAGACATATTTAACAGAAGAAAACCCACTTTGCCACCACAGCCTGCCTGTCGTCTATTAGGACATGTTTAATTATGTCTTGCTTTTTCCATGCAGGAGGATAAATGAGCTGGGAAGAGAATGCCGTGCTGCTGCTCCTGAGCAGCTGATGAGGAATAGTTTGCACAGAGGTGAGTACGTGTCCCTGTTGGAAATTAATTGGAGAAGGGAGTAGTAGAGTGCTCTGCTTAGTACCAGTAGCATATCTGACTTGCAAAATGCACTCTGCTAGAGACTACGCAGTGTTGGGGTTCCTGAAACCTTTATAGCTAAAAGACTACCACAAATTCAGACACACAGTGAAGTTCCTGCAGCGAAGAAGCTCTGATCTGGAGCTTGAGAGCATCACAAGACAAAAGCAGATGAGATGCTGTATTATCTGGCACCTGCTGTTTTGCAGACAGATGTGCTCACTGACCGCATACGCTTAGATTACTGGATGATTTTACTGGACCATGTGAGCTGAGCTAGCATTTGCCTTCGTATGTCGTTTCATCTCTCCTCCCATTTGCTGCCAGTGCTGCTGCCTTGTGACTGTCCAGTGTCAGCGTGTCAGCGTGGGAACTTCTGTTTAAGGTAGGCTTGCATTTTCTTCTCTTTGAATAGTCAGATTGTGGCTGCCTGGGAAGTGCAGGAATAGCAGCGGTTGCTCTGAACAGGAAAAAGCAGGGGCAGAGGAGAAGAGGTAGAAATAAATTTTAACTGCTCCTGTGTTCAGACTCTGCTTTCTCTTTCCCTCTGTTATACAGTGCATAGAATCATGGAATAGTTAGGGTTGGAAAGGACTTCAAGATCATCGAGTTCCAAACCCTCCCTCTGCCATGGGCAGGGACACCTCACACTAAACTATGTTACTGAAGGCTCTGTCCAACCTGGCCTTGAACACCGCCAGGGATGGAGCATTCACAACCTCCCTGGGCAACCCATTCCAGTGCCTCACCACCCTTACAGTAAAGAATTTCTTCCTTATATTCTATCTAAACTTCCCCTTTTAAGTTGTAACCCATTACCCCTTGTTCTATCACTACAGTCTCTAATGAAGAGTCCTTCCCCAGCATCCCTATAGGCCCCCTTCAGATACTGGAAGGCTGCTATGTGGTCTCCACACAGCCTTCTCTTCTCCAGGCTGAGCAGCCCCAACTTTCTCAGCCTATCTTCATACAGGAAGTGCTCCAGTCCCCTGATCATCCTTGTGGCCCTTCTCTGGCCTTTTCCAACAGTTCCATGTCCTTTCTGTGTTGAGGACACCAGAACTGCACACAATACTCCAAGTAAGATTTCACAAGGGCAGAGTAGAGGGCAGGATCACCTCCTTCAACCTGCTGGTCACGCTCCTCTTGATGCAGCGCAGGATATGGTTGGCTTTCTGGGCTGTGAGCACATACATATCTTCCAGCTCAGGAGGGGCATGTGAGTAAGGCATGTGCTAGAGAAGACTGCTGCCAGGCAGGGCTGCTCTGAGAGAAGAGTTTTAGGGAGACTGTGCGCACTGCATGACATCCCAGATCAGCATAAGATCAAAGAAGTTCCATCTTGTTGTGAGGAGATGTGGGTAATGAGGATGTCCTTTTCTTAGGCACAGAACAGTGGGCTGTGGCTACCTGCACTTCCTAACCAGAAAAACTACACTGAGGAGAATAGCTCGTAATAGCTTGGCTGGGATTTTAACATTAGTGCCAGTACAGACTGACAGCTTTGCATGTGAGGGTCACGAAAAAGAATGTCATGATACAGACAGTTTAGTCCTAATAATAGAATAGAAAATGCCGAGTGACCCCAAATTGACATAAAAAGCATGATGTTTGTCACTACTGACTGAGGCCAAACAAGAACTAAAAACTGATGCTCAAAGGCTGTGCATCTTGCTTTTTAAGTTAGCTAACAAATTAGCTGAAACCAATTATTTTTATTTATTAAGACCAGAAGTTTACTGAATATGAACTATATTCCCAAGATGCTATCTTTGTGGTATGGAAAGGTCTGTTCCCATTTATCCACAGTGAAGCCATTTCAATCGCCAGTCCTACTGGGGAGTGTGTTTGCACTACAGGAGCCACACCTGTAATGCTGACAGAATGTAGAGAAACATGCTCCTCTCATGTTATAACAAGAATTGCTACAATGCAGGTCCAGGGAACAATAGAAAGGAGAGGCATCACAAGCATCAATCATCTATAATTTTAGTTCTACCAGCACAGACCCCTCTTACACAGCCTCTGTCAAGTAGCATGGTAAATTTGATCTGCTATCATCATTTTGTCCAGTAGCTCTGTTTTTCCACCCGAAATATGCTGAGGTCCAATACAATCCACAGCAGGAGATCCTATGGGCATCACAAGGTCTCCTGGACCTTGCTGCTCTTTCACAGACACTTGCCATAATATAGCTCAGATTTACATCTTGATTTGGTTGCTCCTTGCATCTAAACTTCAGATGAGTCTGCAAAACTGACGCTTCACTAATACCTGAGAGTTTTTCTGTTGAAGTGGCTCATGTGAATTGCACACTCTGTTTCTTTATTCCACTGATGTTTTATTTCCCTTTTTCCTTTTTTTCTTCTTTTTTTTTTCTGTGTGCGTGTGCAATATCTGCCTCTAATCCAAGGCATTGATCTTATCTTACAAAAAGCAGCACAAGGCAGAACTAGTAAAAAACCCCAAACCACAAAACCTCAAACATTTTGAGAGCTTTGTTTTCCACAGCAATCGTTTGAATGTATGAATATTGTCCAGGGCATTTAGATGCCTTGGAAACTGCTGCTATACAGCTAGGAAAACTTTTAAGAACTTAAATATATATATAAAAGATACATATATGTACACACGCACATATATATGCACACACATATATATGTACCTAAGGAGGCTGTTTTCTCTGAGGTGTTGAAGTTTGCTTTACTAGCATGGTTCATAGCAAACAAGTAAGTTACATCATCAACAAGAAAATAAGATCATTTGCATGTATTCAGGTTTTTAAATACAAACTATTCTAGAGAATCGAGGCACCAGGATGAAGAAGTGGCAGCAAGCATGCAGCCTTCTTTCCCTAAAGTCTAGCAATTCCAAAGGATCATGTTTAGTCTGGAGAGCTGCAAGGATCTTGCAGTAATGTCTGTGCAAGAACATCCAAACAAAACCACAATGAAGCACACTGAGGAAAAGTTAAAATCTTGCATTTCATTGTTATGATGAGCTGGCCTATCTCTTCTTTTCTGAATATATATGTAGTGCATATATATATATCGGTTTTATATACATTTAAAGTTCTTAAAGATTGTCCTAGCTGTGTAGCAGTTTAAACAGTGTCTAAAATGGTTTTAAAAGCATCTGGGCAGACATTTTCAAATGCATCTAAGTGCCCTGGACAATATCAGCCTTTGGTGCTCTGGAAAATCTACGTGTGGTCTCTGCCCTAACACTCCCCCAAGGAAATCCTGACTCCTGTAGAAATGTTGGCACCTGCCTCTGCCTCTGGTTTTCTTTCTTCCCCCATTTTCCTTCCAGCTGGATGGAGGTCTCATATTAAGACCATGGCACAGGGGAAGAAATGGTCTTGCAGCTAGCTGACACAGTGAGCAGGTCGGAAGATGCTGAACTTAATCTATATTGTGCACAGAGGACAGCAAGCTCCTGCTGGCCTTATAGTCAGCTGTGTTCATGGCAGTTTGTGTTACTGAGGTGTGAGGTGAGGGAGTGTTTTTCACTCCTGGCTATAATTCACTGTAACAATCAAATTAGGAAGAAGCAGTGTTTTGAAGCACTCTGGACAACTCTGCGCTCCCCAGGACAGCATTCACCAGTAACTGAGCTGGGAGATGTTTTCCCCTCATGGCAGTGTTTGATGTGCATTTCTTTGCTAGACTTGGTTAATGGTCTCATTAACCATTAACCTGCTCATTAAGCATTAACCTGCTCATCTCTCTGAATCCTCATTTAACAATCCATAATGTTGGGCTGTGGCAGCATTTTCCAGGTGATTTCTCAGCAGAATCAGGTGGGTCTTTGTTACTCCCTGGAACTTTGCACACCTCTGTTCAGGCCCCTCAGCTCCATCTGAGATATCCTCCTTCCGAAGGCACTGGTGTCCACGAGGAAGGCGGCTGTGACCACAGCCAATCCCTACCTGTCCCTGATGATTCTCGGGTGAGGGGTGGCTCTGCTGCTCACTGTCTCTGGGTTAGCCTAACTGCAAGGTCTTTCCTGCACCAGTGCCCATCTTGGGGGACGTTCTGGCCACAAACCCTTAAATAACTTCTTCAGTGCTCCTCTCCTCATTACAGCTTATGACTGTACCTGACAGGCTGAAGTCATTGCCTTCAGCCTTCAATCTCTTCGAACAGAGAATCCTGGAGACTGTTTGGAGCCATGATGGGAGGAAAATACAGCTTCTGGGAGAGACCTGCCAGCACCTGAGGTGACTTGTCTGCATGAGTTGGAAAGTAGGTGATGGTATTTCTGATTCTGTAACATGCTGGACTACCCAGTCAAAACATTTACAGGCATAACCTCAGATCATCTGATACTGACTTATCATTACTTCAAATTGGAGCAAAAATACATGATGTTGAAAAAGGTTTATATGCCCCAAATGTGCTGCCTCATGGCAGGAGATCCAGATGAACAGATGCACAGTTGGAAAAGAGAGAGCTACAGGCATTTCACTTTAGTCAGAGCCATGCCACAAGCTTTCATTGCATAAGTATGTTGTTATACCGAATGCATGCATGGCTCTTAGAAACAAAAATTATTCATCAGAAAGCCTAAGGTTAGCTTAAGTAGTTTAAATAGCAGGTTTTGCTAACCCAGTTCCTTTTGGTGGTGTAAGCCTGGAGCTCATCACGACTCATCCATGACACTTGGCAGAAACTATATGGCAGATTTTGGATTTACAAATAAAGAAAACATGACTGTGAATAATGATGGCTCTGATATAACTCAGAGGCTAAAAAGATTCTCCTGCTTCTTAGATGTGATTGTGTTGGTGGCCTTACATGGTAGCAGAGTGTGCTGAACAGGCCTTTTTGTAATTCTGAAGCAGTGATGACTGATACACTTGGGTGGTTAAAAAAGTTCCTGTAAGGAAAAGGAAAGAAAAAAAGAAAGAATTATAAACCAGGCAAATATGAGGGTTTCCTGACATGAGGTGCACACTCAGGAACTTTTACAGCTATATAATACATGCAGGGAGAGAGGTCAGAAAGCAGTTAAGAGCTTATCTGTAAATTGAATTCAGAGACACTGAAATATATACTGCTGGCTGTTCACTGCTTAGCCAGTAATTATGCAATATGTCTGTTTGATCTTCAGGGTGTTGTGGAGCAGCTTCTGCCTGCACATTGTTTGCTACTTATGCTGCTTCCACATCAATGATGACTACGAAACTATTAGTGTTGAAAGTGAAGACAGCAGCTGCATGCTACGCATCAGATGGATACTTCTATTCTCAAGCAGAAAACAAGAGCAGCCAGCAGAACAAACTGTGGTGTCTGATTTGACCTCTTTGCAATACTTCAAGTAAGACTGTTTTTCTCATGGTTCTGAGCAGCAATGGGTAGACTCAGGTATTGCTTCTTTGCTCTTCTAATTTTGAGTGTTTTGCTTCCAATTCTTTTTTATGCTGTTAATTTGCACACACAAAAATCTCTTTGGAGGCTGAACTTCTCAGTGAATTCAACATTAGCAGAAGCCTGCAAAGCACTGATTGAAGACAAGGTGCCCTTTATGAAGGAAAATGCTTTAGAAACTTCATCCAGAGAATCCAGTTGCACAGAGTACATCACCCGGAATCACTACATCACCCGCACCCTCTCGGCTGAAGAGGCCGCCTTCCCCATTGCCTACATTATGACCCTGCACAAGGAGTTCAAGACCTTTGAGCGGCTCTTCAGGGCAGTGTACATGCCCCAGAACATCTACTGCATCCATGTGGATGCCAAGGCACCTGCCCACTTCCATCGGGCAGTGCAGCGCCTGCTGGGCTGCTTCCCCAACACCTTCTTCGCCTCCCAGGCAGAGCAGGTGGTCTACGGCGGCATCTCCCGCCTGCGGGCTGACCTCCACTGCATGAGAGACCTGCTGGCCTCAAGCGTGCCCTGGCGCTACGTGCTGAACACCTGCGGCCAGGACTTCCCCTTGAAGACCAACCGGGAGATCGTCCGGCTGCTGAAGGGCCTTGGGGGCAAAAATGTCACCCCCGGGGTGCTGCCACCCCCCTACATCACCTCCCGCACCAGATACGTGCACAGAGAGCAATTATACTCTCTCTTTTCTTTCATGCTTGTGACATTTGTGCGCAAGCCACCCCCTCCCCACAACCTGACCATCTACTTTGGCTCTGCGTATGTGGCCGTCACCCGCCCCTTTGTGGAGTTCGTGCTGCAGGACCAGCGTGCCATCGATCTGCTGGCGTGGTCTGAGGATACCTACAGCCCTGATGAGCACTTCTGGGTGACACTCAACAGGATCCCAGGTGAGTACTCCTTCACTTCTGCTTTCTCTAGATACACAGGTGCATGCGCAGGTATGCACATGCATGCACATTCACAAAGACATATATCCAAGGCTGATTTTCACAAAGACTAGATGAAAAATTTAATCAGATCATAACTGATAAGAAAAGGTTGGTCTATCAAATAAGCTTACTTGCCCTTTCTGTCCATTGAGGGAGAGGTGACTGAGCATTGCAAGATGTGCTTTACTGTTCTGTGCCCAAGCAGGAAGTAACTCAGAGGACTGAAGTTCAAATTGAAATCCTTGGACATTTCAGGTGTTAAACATTTTACCTGTAAAAATGGAGATGAAGAAAAGAGAAGGAATAAAGATTAAAATATGTCAGGATTGTAGGGAAAGCGTTTTTTACAAATGTCCTGGGCTCAGCAGTAGCAGTCATTTTTCTCCTTCTTAGTAGCTGGTGCAGTGCTGTGTTTTTGACTTTCAGCCTGAGAACAGTGCTGGTAACACACCAATGTTTTTAGTTGTTGCTAAGTAATGTTTACTTCTATCAAGTCTCATGCTTTCTCACTGAGGAGGGGCATGGGAAGTTGGGAGGAAGCAGAGACAGGACACCTGACCCAAACTAGCCAAAGGGGTATTCCATACCACAGCACGTCATGCCCAGTATATAAACTTGGGGCAGTTACCCAGAAGGGCTATATCGCTGCTCAGGTTGGGCTGGGTATCAGTTGGCAGGTGGTGATCTGTTGTATTCTCTTCCCTTGTTATTTCCCTTACCATTATTATTACTGGTGGTAGCAGAAGTGGTTTGTGTTATACCTTAGTTACTGGACTGTTCTTATCTCAATCCGTGGGAGTTACATCCTTTTGATTCTCCTCCCCATCCCTCAGGAGCAGTGGGGGAAGAAGTAGGGGGGAGTAAGCAAGTGGCTGCACGGTTCTCAGTTACCAGCTGGGTTTAAACTAAGACAACAAGATGTTCTTTTTTTTCTAGGAGGAATTTTATTTTTCACAAATAGAATTCAATTGCTCCCTTTCTATTACTCCAGAGCCAGAAAACAATGTGAGTTCAGGCTAGAATCTGCTTTTAGTCTTCATATGCTTTTCTGTGGGCACACACATGCCATCTCTCACATAACACCTGCAAAAAACCCCCATGTACTCATAACTACTGCTTAAACCCCACTGTGCAAGGTCAAGGATTTGTTTAGTGAAACAGAGCCAGTATTTTCATCTTCACCTTAGGTATTTACAATTAGTTTTACTTTGTTCAGATGACTAGGAAAGGGTTAGAAGATGCATAGGACTTCTCCCTCATGCACATTGATGCTTTTAGAAGCATCTGGTAGGACTTTACTGCACCCAACTCCCTAGAGCTTCACAGCAGCCCAAACCAGGGCTGTTAGGAATGGAAACAGGATAAATTTCTTCTCCTGTCATTTTTTCTTCTTTCTTTTCACTCCTTCCCTACTGAACTTGTGGGAAACAAAAACAGGGAGCATTAACAGTGGGACAGAGCATGTCTACTTTAGCCTAAGCAGTAGACTGTAGGACCATTTTGCAAGGCCAAATTATCACTTAACTGTGAGAATAGTGTTTGCTCTTGTCATAACTATTCTACAACTGGCATGCACGAGATGCACAAATGATTACTGTTTGAGATATTTATGGTATAATCATCATCAGATACTATTTGTAGTTAGATGACTTTTCCAAGAAGCTGGGTGTTGTGATCTTATTATAGTCTATTGCCTCAGAAGCAATAAACCTGGAACCAGATATGTTATCCACAAACAGAAAGCTTTAGGTGGTTGCCATTTGTTGCACTGCACTTTGTAGCTTACATAGGCTGCATATTTCGTTGTATATTTCTATGATTACCACTGTATGCATTCCAGTATGGCACACTGCATGACAGTTTTTGTGCTTTTTCTCTTTGCATTCATAAGATGTAACATTTCCACAGCAGATATGTTTCCTTCTTCTTCTTTGTTTTCTCTGTCATTACATTAGTGTGTCTGGTCAAAAGTGGCCATGCAGCTCTCGCAGATGTACTCAGGGGCTGCTATTGTCCACAATTTTGAATCCAAACTTGTAAGCATAGAACAGGGTGTCACTCACCTGGATGTATCCAAGACAGATCCAGGCTCTGGGATGTGAAGTCACCCCTCTCAATGCACTGGGTGTTAGACTGAGACTCAGTTCCTGGCTCTAACAAAGCCTCTTATCCAAGTTTGACCAGGTCACTTCCTTTCAGCTTTTCAGGCATATTAGAGGCAGATAATGGTGTGAGGCAGTTGTCCAGCTGTTAGAACAAATAGTTGGAGGCCTCCAGGCAAGCAAAGAGATCATTTAAGGACCAGTTTGGATGGACAGTGTATCACAAAAAAAACTAAACCAAACAGATTTGATATTTTGGACTGTCACAATATTCTCAATTCAGATAAAAGATTTAAAAAGACTGTTTGATTCCCAAATCTCAAAATAGCACGCTTATTATCCAGAGACATGCAATGAAGACCAAGATATTTTTTTTTTAGCCCCCTAAAGCTAAAGTCTTTCAATTCCCATTCAGTTGGTTTTCAAATAACAGTCTTAACTTATCTTTGGTGTTTCTCTCAGGCCACTTATCTCCCACATAAATTCTGTGTGACAGAAAATTCTTGAAAGTCACTTTTCAGATAAGGAAGAGAAGCATGAGGAAAATAAGGGAAAGTATTTGCAAAGTATGTAGGCTTGAAGTGACTGGCCCTGAATTATTTTCTTCAGGTCTCACATGAAACAAGCACCGCTACAGTGCAGGTTAGTTGCTACTTCCCAGGCCAGCAGCATAACCACGGGGCCACCTTTCCCCTCTCTGTTTACATACAGCAGAAAGATTCTGGTTGCTGTGGGAGGTGTGTATCCAGAGTTAATGATATTTAGTCCTTCAGGGTCAGTTTTTACTGGAACCTCTTCCAAGCCAAACTCCTGTCCCCACTTTCATGTGGCAAAGTCACAGCATATGCTTGACTTGGGATATAGGCAGTCCTAAATGATAATCCCTCAGGTTACACACCAATATGTACATTGACATACACATATGCTGGTCCATTAGTAACTTACACACTGTTCAGTGGGAAAATAAAGGTCAGAAGGAGTAATAGAAGCACTTCTTATTCAGAGGCACCAACATGCTGTTAGAAGGGAGGTCACTCCTATTATTTCCCTTTCACAGAAGCAGGAAGAAAAGGATGAAATTATATTCCTAATGTCTTAAACTAGACCATGGGCAAAGCCAGCACTGGAGCACTGATACATAACTCCCACTCTAACACACTGGATTAAACTCTTTTATCTTCAGAATTGGCTCACTTGAAGAATAACAGCGCATGGTTGCACTGTCACCTTTGCATCAGTCCCATTTCTTTACTAAGGGTGTGGGTGCACAAGACTGCTGAGCACTAAAAGCTCATTGTTCCCAAAACAGGAAATTTTCTCCTTATTCCTTCCTACTTCCTCCTGCCTACCAGACCTCTGCTAGGATCTTTGCCAGTTTAAGTCACCTAATCTGAAGAAAAAAGCAATGTACTTTCCTCAATCTGTGAATTTAAATGGTTTGGTGAAGATTATGGCCAGCACTGAAGCGTGAGTTAAAGCTGGGGCATGAATTAAAGCTGGGGGTGAACATGCAGATGTGAGAAATGGGAGAGGAAAATGAGAAGGAGAGGAGGAACAGGAGTCAGACCTTCCCCTTTCAGTGCTGGTGAGCCATGAGCCCAGCTTATGCCACTTTCTACAATGCCGCCTGCATACGGGCATTTTATAACATCTGAGCTTGGAAGGGTAGGGCAGAAATATTTAAAGGCATTGTGTATGCTTAGTTGTTATCAACAGTTTTGGTACAATTTCCATCCTAGTGCAGATGAGATGTATTTGGGAAATGCAACACTGCTAGTTGAACATATTTTTGCTATTGCATTTAAGACAAATTTCTAGGAAATGATGATATGGAGATACAAACTTTACAGTCCCATGGGTTATATCACTCTTACAAACTTTGTTTAAAACTCACATGCGCAGGTCTGTGTTCTAAAGCTGTTACCTATAGTAAGTTCTCTCACATTGATTCCAATAAAACAAATCATAGCTTTGCTTTAATCTGCAAGTTTATACTATGCACACCCTCCAACTGACAAGTAAGCTATAAGGAAATATTCAAGGGTGCATCCTCAAAGCCAAAACAAATATGTTAAGAGGGCCAGCCCACAGTCTGATGAGCAAATGTCATCTGCATGCCACAGGTAGCTTACTGCAATACCCTATAAAAATGGCATCAGTTTCTACTTCAACCTTTCTGTTAGGTGCTGCTGGCACCAGGTTCTGGACTAATACCAGCCTGGAAAGCATAAAAGAGTTTATCTCTAAGCACTCCTGCCCTGAATCACTACACAGTGCTGTAAGTGACTGTGCTGGCAGGGCTGAAGGGGCTTGGTAGTTATGGGAATGACCAGCCAGGGTGTTCAGGGATAGGGAATAAATCACCAGAGATCAGCAGTACGAATTTAGGTAAGAAGCTCATCTCCCAGAGTACTTCAACCACCATCCTCATCCCTTCTCTTAAACCTATGGCTGAATGAACTTGTGCATAAGCAAAGTAAGTCTCTTTCCTAGTCTCCTGCACTTGTTTTCCAAGTTTCTTGTTCAGGTTTCATGTTTAGGAATTTCTCCCAAATTCAGGTGTGTGAGAAAGTCCTTTTATCCAGACCCTTTCCAGAGTCCCTCTTGACAGCTTCTTAGCAAGTTGGCTTCTGTCTGTTCTGCCCTGTTACAAAGAGACAAGAATTGTTACCGCAGCCTGGGAAACATACTCAAGGCATTGTCTCTTACCTACTTTAACAGGGTATGTGCAACAGCTGCTGCTGTTGTGGTTGGGACAGACGTGTTTTAATAGTTGTCATCTTTAGCTTCAAAACTTAGCTAGCATTCATGGAGATGCCGTACCACTGAAGAAGCAAGCGAAGTCTTAGCTATGTA